TATATATATATATCAGATCTGCGCTGGAAAGAAGAATTTTGTTAGCAACATTTGATAGGAAACAAGGAAAAGGTTGCTATAGGGAAACATGCTCTCACTTGTTCATCTTTATTATGGTCATAGAGCACACATAGGGAAACATGAATTGGATGGGCAGAAAGGGCTGGATCCAAAAAGGTCACACAGGAAATCAGTCCAGGATTTAAAGGCTTTAAAACCCAGGAAAAAGGAAGCATCTGCATTGCCTTTCCTGGGAAGGAGATCCAATTCCAAAATGGGTAGGTGGAGCCCCTATGCTACCTGGGATTTCTTAACCAAAAATATTCCAGCCAGCATGGACTTTGATCACTTTGCAGAAAGTTGGGGTTTGGGGGGATTTAAAGCATCAAAGCTTGCGGACTGCTTTTCGTAATCATTTCCTCCTCTTCCTCATCCGATAGTGATCTATCTTGGCTGTTGAGAAGCAAGAGGGTATGAAATACATTTACAAAGGAATCCAAAGTTTGCAGAAATACCGGCGAGTGCAAGTCTTCGTAGGGCCGGATGGATCGCATCCACAGGTATTAAAATAAATGGTCGGCATCCTCTGGAAACTTCTGTCTTTGAGAAATATTGGAGAACAGGTGAGGTATTCCAAGAGGTGAAGTGCCATTTGTCTGGAGCTTGACCAATATTATTCCTGTATTTTATTTTTTAAAAAGGAGAAATAGGAAGATTTGGAAAATGATAGTATGGCTGCTCCGACTTCCATACCAGGGAAAATGGATTGGGAAGGAGTCCATCAGTAAGTATCTGCAATGGGAGCCAGCGATGATTTGTGAATCATAATTTGAAAGGGAAGGTTAATTTTCTTTTCTCCTTGGCTTGCTTGGGTTATGCTTTATGGATTGTGGGAATGCGATGGACATAATTTATCTTGATTTGGAGAAACAAAGTCTCTCATGCAGTGGATGGCGCCCACAATGGCTGTGATAAATGTGTTTTAAATGACACACAGATGCAATTTTAGCTGCGATGTTTATATACAGGGTAACTTATGTGTGCTATAGGTTGATATTAATTTGTTAACTGAATCATCATCGTCGTGACGTACCATTCGTATAAAAATGAAGGGTCAACAAGGAAGGACTCTTTGGTTGGTGCCACACTGCAGAATTAATTCAGTTTTGACGCCCCTTTAACTGTCATGGCTCCACCCTAGGGAATCCAGGGATCTGTAGTTTGTCGAGGCACTAGAGCTCTCTGGCATAGAAGGCAAAATACCTCACAACAAATCCCAGGACTTCCTAGCATCGAGTCATGGCCGTTAAAGTGTTGTCAAACTGCATTAATTCTGCAGTGTAGATGCAACCCTAATATAATTTTCTTCCCTTCAAAGAAAAATACAGACTTTTCAGAATTCATGCAGTAATTCTGTTCAGTAATGATAGGAACACCCTTTCCTTCATTTTTTAATGAACCCTTGTACTTGAGGATTCAGGAGAGTTTCCATAAAGGACCACAAGGAGATAGATTCCCCATGAACTATTTAAGGGCCGAGGGACTTCAGCTCCCAGAATCCCAGGAGCTATTGGCCAACATGGGACTATTGGCCAACATAGTTGAGGCTTCTGGGAGCTGAAGTCCCTTGGCCCTTAAAGGGGAAAGGTTGCCTACCCCTGAACTATAGGGTGACTTTGATGCCCAGCGGGTACAATAGACATTATAGGAGTGATGGGTTAGGACCCATAGTGCCCAGGCCATGACGGTCTTCTATTCCCAGTGAGAGAGCAGCATGGCATAGTGGCTTGAGTGTTGGGATTCTGGAGATCAGGGTTCAATTCCCAACATGGCCATGAAACCCACTGGGTAGCCATGGGCAAGTCACAGTCTCTCAGCCTCAAAGGAAGGCAATGGCAAATCCCTCTGAACAAATCTTGCCAAGAAAACCCCAGGATAGGTTTGCCTTAGGGTCACCATAAGTTGGAAATGACTTGAAGGCACACAACACACACATACACACTCTCCAGGAGAGCTGGGGAAGGAATGTGTGTTTCTTTTGAAGATGGTTTCCAAAACATGATGCTTTAGGGTGGTTGTTTTCTGGTGACCTAACCAAAAAAAAACCTCAAAACACCAGTTACTTTAATTCTTGGCTTTCTTTACCCCAAAGTATAAGGGGGGGGATGGCTGCTGGGGCCTATCCTTTCTATAGATTCCTGATCTCTGTTTTCAGTTTCAAATGATGAGTCTTTTACTCCCAGAGGAGACACCCGGCTCCACAAAAGATACAAAATTCTACTTATATCCAAGCACATGTTTTTCAAAAAAAAAAAA